CTTTGTCGCTTATGTATTTCTGAGTATATGCACGTTTACGTTTTCAGTAATGTATATTTTAAATTACAAGAACATTGAAAGTCGACACCCCGATACCATTTGCTAGAACTCCAATGTCCTGGCGAGTCACGAATCAGCAGACTAACTTGTTAACCCTTATTACAGCCACCTAAAAAGAAAGCTGTTCGAGCTAAGGCTCCCAAAAAGACGCCAACAGTCATCGATGGCGTCTCCACGAGTGACATGACGAAGGAACAGTTGGAGGAGCACGTGATGCGGCTCCGCGAAGAGATGGAGCGAGAGCGTCAAGAACGCAATTACTATCAACTGGAGAGGGACAAGATAAACACCTTTTTGGAGGTCACAAAGAAGCAGCTGGAGGCCAGGAACGCAGAACTGCGCCTAAAAGGTCGCGAAATAGAAGAGGCCGAGGAGCGTCACCTGTTGGAACTGAAGGTAAGTGAACAAGTGAAGGAGGATTTACCTGCACATTCCCGTATGTATAGGTGTACAAGCAAAAGGTGAAACACTTGCTGTTTGAAAATCAAAATGGCATAACGGAAGGCAAGCAGGAGCTGGTTTCAGCACTGCGGCTGGCTGAGGAGAGTTTCGGCGAACAAAAGGACATGATTGTGCAGGACAAGCGTCTTCTCAAGGTCAGTCTTAAGGAGGCCCAGCTGGCAAAGGAAGACATGATGCGCAAACTGAAGCTCGCCCATGAAGAACAGGTACGTCTTCTTCACGCACGCTTAAAATTGTCCCTTTTAAAATAGTACTTACAAATTATGAGCAGCATTGTTTTTACAAATAACTCTTGTTTTTCGACCTGATCTTATCCCTCCTCCCCCTCACCCCCACAGTTTCATAAGATGCGCGAGGACTTTGAACGTCAGCTGGAGGAGAACAGACATCAAAATCAAGAGAAGCTGAAGACACTACAGGAAGCCATGGAGTTACAGAGGAAGACGGAACTTCATGAGACGGAAGAGCGGAAGAATAATCAGATCAATACGCTGATTCAAAATCACGAGAAATCCTTCTCTGATATTAAAAATTACTACAATGACATCACATTGAACAACCTCTCACTCATTAACAACTTGAAGGTAGGCCTATTGATGAACTTGAATTCTTATTTTGTGGAAGCTGGGATGAATGCACGGGGGGACACCAAAAAACCTTTATCAGTGCTGGTGCGCTAGACTAAAGTGTGAAAAGTGCTGGGAAACAGTTAATGCGGATCTACTCAAGTAATTTTCGTTGCGTTCGAATAGCTGTTGGCTAAAAAACTCAGCACGCAGTACTAGTCGGTAAGAGTCCACTTTATTATGTATTGCTATATTTCATACATTCGCATTACGCATAGGCGTCCACATATCAGGTTTCGCGATAGGTTTATCCATGCTGCTGCCTTGAATCTTCTCGATCGCGACCGACAGGCCAACGGGCCCATGTCTTAATGACAGAGTTTCGGACTGACAGAAGTTCGATGACCCTAAAATCCAGGTTTAAATACATTGGAACCTCGGTCAGTGAGTTTAATCCGTAAGGACAACAGGCTCGTCATGTGAAACACTCGTCTTGCGAAGCGTAGCCAATAAAACTGCATCATTTCCCTGACTGACTGAAGGCGACCGAGGATCCACGCCCTGGGAGCAAGACTCAACGGCGAATACAGGCACATACAAATGCACTGACAGCTCTTTAACTGGGCGGAAGCTCGTCAATCGAAACAAATTTTCTGCTAGTGACTTGCTCGTTACCTGAGATGCTCGTAGATGGAATTGCTCTTCACGCAAGGCTCCACTGTACTAGGTCATACAAAACTGGCGTTTGATTAAAGCTAGTTTATGAGAGCTAATAAAACGGAAATAGCCAGTCCCTGTGTCCCTAGTCTTTTTCTGTAAAGTTATACAGCCTAGCCAACATGTGGCTACTTGTGGGGCTCGAAAGTGAGCTCCAGGGTACAACGGGACGACTGTTTCCCATGGAGCGCTAGGGGAGCACCCTTTTACCACTGTTAATATACCCATTCGCAACCGACCAGATAAGCGAACCTCTGGCTCAGTGGTTCGGGCATTGGACTTCTAACCAACAGATTGGGCGTTCGATCCTCAGGGGGTTACAGTACCTGGTCTGGCTGGCTGATGACGGCTAATAAGCCAAAAATGGCCACCCCAGTCTCCCTTACCTTTTTTCAGTCCTTCCCTTCTGCATCACTACTACGCGCCTTGCGACTGATCTAACTTTCAACCTAAAATAAAGTTCAGTTAGGCTAACGTACGTTTTCGATTATTCATCATCGGGTAATTACAATCATATAAGGGAGGGGGTGGAGTGAACAAAAGTGTAAGTCTCCAATCAGTAGTTATTAAGTGGGAGAGGTGTTAAGGAATTAATGGGTCAGATTCTAGTCTTAACAAGGGGCAGAGAGGGGAGGGGGAAGGGCTTCGACAGTTAGTTCATGTCGCTCTGTCGTTACTGTCTCGTGTCGTAATAGGAGGCGTGAGGACACATGGTGTCACTGACTCGCAACGCGG